AAGGTGCGAATAAAATTACTCAACCCATATTTAAGAAATAGATTCGCAGAAAGTAGTTTTCACCTTGAAACCCTAACGCTTCCCTTAATGCATAAATAGTATTATATATAAGTATATATACATATATATGAAGCTACTATTAATCAATTTGCATTCAGATACCTCCTCATTTAGTGCCCACTAAATAGCTTAACCTGTAAAATAACCAGCTTAAGATTACAAAGAGGCAAGTGAAACTACTAGGAAGTTCAAGCACGTCCATGTGCAGGTGAAGGTAAATATAGCAATGGAAAATGTGGGAGGAAAACATAGTCATCTTAAAGTAAAGGCGAAAGCGGATGGCAAACTGTTTGCTAAATTACATATATTTTTATCTTGTAAGTATGAAGTAGTTGTCTGCTTCATAGAAAATATCTTCAACTTTTCGCGTATCTCATGTTCTATGTTTCCCATTTAATTGATAGGTAACAACAGAGGTTTTTATTATTAAAGCAAATTTAACACTGTAATACCTGTCAATAGGGCTGCGCAGCTCAGCTAAAAAATGCCAATTATATCCAGCTGAAGAGGGAGGAACATCACAGCTCAGTGCTGGACTGTGACTGTGGCTTTGCTTGCACTTGGGCGCACCGAGGGCGTTCAAGCGGAATTAACTTCAGCAACTACTCCATGTGATACCGAAAGCAACAACAACATTAAACACAAAACGAGCAGGAACATTGCTATTAGCGGTGCAAGCCACGACCTGCTACTGCAACAGCCACATCTGTAATGTATTGGCCACACTTGCAAAGTGCCCATCTCGAAGCCAACGTCGGCTATACTTAGATATCGGAAACAATCCATTCTGGTTTCGTTAGACGTTCACGTCAGTATAGTATAGAGTACTGCCTAGATACTTTATGTTTTCTATGAATGCACACGTTCCCCACATAAATTTACATACTTCAACAGATTTAAATAAGCTTAAGCATATTGATTTAGACTGTGGACAGGTCTATTCACACATACATTTCTGGTACAAGTATTACAATTTTAATTATTAGTACGTTCAGAAAAGCATCAAAAGCAAAGACCTTTTCTGTAATAACTTGTTTAACAAACATCGAAAGTAAGCCTTTTTACAACAATAGAAAACTGCATAGATAAAATAATTATACATATTTTCTTCCAAATATAACGTTTTGATTAAAACTTTTAGGAAAACATTGTGAGCCCCATCATTTTGACGCCAAATTTATTAAAACCAATCATTCAATGTCCTGTACTGGTTTAATTTACTTCTCAGTATTGTGCAATGGCCACTTTGTCTTTGAAAAAGTGTGGACCACTTGGTCCACTCCGGTCATGAATTCAACAGCCGTATTGCAATACAATCTAGAAATAAATTTTTATGATCTGCTTTACACATTTGCTGCCCTGTCTGCTCATTGACACAATTCTTAAAACGCCATGAGCACCGTAGCAAAATATCCGCCGTCACGTGTTTATTTAAGTATTTTTCCTTCAGCTTTGCTTCTCTAAAACCAAATTTTTATTTGCTGTTGTGCTGTCCTTCTCATTCCTTTCTTATTTGACACTTATATAATATTTTGATGGTTCTACCTTTTTTTCTCCCTGCTCTATGCCATTGTCTTTGTGATTTTACGTTATTCGATGCAACGTGTTGTAATTAGTATTCTTCCCCATTGAAATGCCCTGTGTAAACGTGCCGTTTTAACTGTATCCACTCAACTCTCCGTGTGGGGACGTTAATGCAAACAGCACGGACAAACATTGGAAGGGACGCGAGATGTGTAGTTGTAAAAAAATACTAGAAGAGATTTCTCATGGTACCAATTTACGCAGAAAACGCATGTGTTCCTTCTTAATGAAGCACCTACGTATGTACCATGCAGGAAGAGGCAATATGAAGTTTCGGTATGATTCACTATCGGTAATTTATTTCAAAACAAAGAATAAACCAGCAATGACAAAATTGACAAAGAAACAATAGCATATGTAAGTATATGTATGCCAGAATTCAAAAAACTACTACCTTAAACAAGAGTGAAGTAAAATCTCGACCGATATAAAATATGAAAATTACAAAAGCACGAGATCCATGTGCCTTAAAAAATCGTCACATAAAACATATACATTTGGAAATCAGCGGTCATAGACGTGACGTACATAAGCTAGCAAATAGTTCTGGCCTGCCTTCTATTCAAAATTATTATACCTATAGGGATGATTTCTTTCCGCCAGATGCTGACCCACTTTTTGCTTTGTATGTGAACATATACTTCAAGCCATTCAATCACAAATATAATTAAATGTTAAACTTTTATGAAATCTGTAGATGGCGATTATCTCTTCGTATACTTCCCTTCCGACTTTTTAGTACCGCTTCCCCTTTACTTGTCCTATTTGCTTATTCCATTTCACGTGCCTCTCCATGCGTCTGCTCACACCCTTTATCTTATCCACATTTCAGCTCCAAAATAAATATCAACAACAATGTGACCTATTAAGCATATAGTTCTCATCATCTGCTTGCTCCTCAGTTGACGTTGCTGCCGTCGACGTCGACACCACCGGCGACCGTTTTTGCCTTGGCACTGTCACAATTCCTTCGATTATACGGAGTAGTTGATGTGCATACTGAACGCCTCTAGTTGTCATTCGTTCAACTATCTGACAGTTTCTATTGTCAAGTGGGTAAGTAATAGAATACACACCAACTGGGGACACCAACAGTCCACTCGCTTCAAGAAATGAAGAGAAAGGGCTGAGGGGAAATACACAATGCGAAATGGATTGAATGATTTGCTGCGATAGTGTGTCTGCATACACATACATATTTGTTGTTACTATTGTTAGCATTACTCTTGCAGTCTTTGTGATTATTCACATCGAAAATATTTTATACTTAGCGCTTACGTCGGATTTGCCGCAAGTGTAACCACAAACTGTTCACACTTCAATGCAACCGTAGAATATGAATGACCTCACATACAGTTACCTGACAGTCGAGCTTTTAAAGGGCAAAGGACTATTTAGTTCAGCGCTCTTTTGGCACTAGAGTAAAAAATAGTAGAGTAAAACACAACTATTAACCTAATTTCTCGACAGATCCGGTTGGCGAGGTAATTGTTCATAAATATATGTATATATATAACTAATGCACATATAAAATGAGGTAACGGAAGACTATCTGCAAGTAGGACCAACAATAAAATAAGGAAGAAACTGTGTAAAACTCATATAATTTATGAAAGGAGCAAAATCAGTTGATCACTCCAAATTGATAATAATACTGTATACCGTTGTATGTTAAGTGATACCTAACCCAAATACTTAGTGATCTTTCCGAATACTGTTTAACATCAGCAAAAATCTAATTTATTATGTTATTAACAGAGCTTCTTTGCGTTGTCCCACAAATGCAAAGCCTTTCCAGTCGCATTCTGTCATCAAACGCTTGATAGTGGATAGCTTCTGGTTCAGAAACATGGAAATTATTTAGCGTAATTTCAAGGAAAATTCCGAGCTTTGTTTGAACTCAATGGCATGGTGTAAAATATTCCACTGCTCCAAACAAATATATACCCCCATCCCCAAATGCAAGCAGAAAATGTTCCCTAATCTACTCTATTGTGTACTGGAAGGGTTAACAGCGAATTATGCATAAAGGCATTGGTGAGGCAGGCACAAAGCTTCAAATTAAAAATATTTTCTATTAATACAATGCCGCGAATAAACACAAACACAAACGGGCAACGGAATTAGTGTAATCCTCTGGTGTAAGGATTAATGCAAAACGAGAGCGACGAGCTTGAAAACGACAATTTAACATTGAGATAATTTGTGAATATTACATGCAACGATTCTCGATACTCGTCACTAATATGTATATACTGCATGGTCTGTTTTTAAAATATAAGTTATTTCGACTTGTACTTTGCTCTAGTTTCGACAAAATATTGTACTTAAATATTATTTCTTCAATGTACTTTATATCTTACATAGTTGTAATCTTTATAACCGAGTTGCATTCAATTGATAATTAAATTCATAATGCATTTCAAACTAAATAATTATAAAACGGCGTAAACGAGTATAATAAAAGTAGTTAAAAACTCATATTAAATCACTCGGAAGTGCTATCTTGACATGATAAAATACCCAGAGACAAAACCACACAAGCATGCCACTATAAATGCTTAGTTCAACATAAACTGCTTAACTCGCTGTCACGCTTTCATATGAGGGTAGTTTCGGAACCTACTTCACTTGCCCACTATTTAACACCCCCTCAACCATGCTACACTCACACCTATTCATATTCTCATTTATGCTCACGCTTTTTAGCTGTTAACTTAACAGAGCAGATACCAACTAACTGGATGCGGGAGGGAGAGCACTTGGCGTATGAGTATCGCAAGAACAGCGAGTTGAGAACGCCAAAACAGTTGCAATGCGTTCAATGAGAAAAAAGCCAACACTTTTGTGTCAGATAGGAAAACTAAAATCATTGTCGTAATCGTGTCTCTAAAACGATTTACAAGCTTTCGGCCTTACGAGCTAGTCAGAGATAACAACGTCCATGCTTTTACATTCATACATATGTAAGTGAGTATGCGCTTGTGTATGTACAAGTATGTGTCATGCATATGTATGTGCTTTCAGTTGAGCACAGGAATGGGCGCAAGGGAAGATATGCACACAATTATTGCCCTGAATGAACACAAAGTTTAAATTTTTGGTTTTCTCTCCTAATTTGCTTTTTCATTTCATAATTCGAGGAGTTCGGGACAATTTGCTTGCAACACTCGCTACTTTATTAAGGCCAATACGCACGCCAACATTTGTTACAGTAACAAAGCAAATAAAAAATATTAAATAATTTGTTGCGAGTTCGGTACGCCGCGAAACGACGTCCAATAGAATAGAGAGGGGTAAATTTTCGATAAATGCTATAATTTAACATTGATATGCTGATGTGTGAATGGACTTACATTTTTACGACTTTGCGGTTGTTACGTTTTGCTTTTTTTTTAGTTATATATATTGTGGTTGTTATTGCTGGTCCTTTTGTTCTGTTGCCGTAAATTCGGTTGATGTTTTTGTTGTTGCCCCATCCGTTGCTGGTCGTATGAAATCATTTATGCGATTTGCTTTAACAAGCAGCAATATATTACACCAGGACCAATACTATAACGGCGAAGCCGATGGTGTACGAGCGCTTGCAATGATAAAATGTGATTGCGAGCGTGTTGGCCTGTGTGATTGTGTGAGCTTGCGAACGTCAACGCAATCAAGTAGAATGCCTTTGCCGTCGCTTACGTGCTTATCATCCAGCTGCACGGCTCCTTGCGCTCTCGTTTGCTTGGATGTACAATATGTGCTTGTATTTGTCCCTCTTTAAAATGTGCCACCTGCTGACCCTTCACTTCCACTTCCTGCACGTTAGCGTGTGGATATGCTTTTTTGGCGTTGGAAAGTTTAAACCTCCTTCGCACCCACTCCTAACATACTTGCACGTTTGCACTATTATTATTATTATTATTATTTGTTCCTTTATTACAATTATACACGAATGAGTGGTACTCCAAATTAGAACATATGTACATACGTACATACATATGTATGTATGTAATTTTTTTCGCTATTTTATTATATGTACTTCGTGGATTTGTGGTGCTAATTTGACTCCTTTACATTTGCATTTCGGAGGAATATAGATATTTTTCATAAATGCATTTCAATGGGTATAAATACAGATATATATAAATATATGTTTTACAATTTTCACACCTTCTTTGAATACGTATCTATGTATTTATTCATTCAGAGCTAATAACTCATATTTCTATAATATTTTTCCACGTTAATCGTCAACATCGTCGGATACTTATTTTTACGCAATTGCTACACTTTTCTTCTAACTAAATAATTTTTTACACTTCTAACCCATTTCATTCAATATTTTGCATGAAGCACATTTTTAGCACATTTTCACTCGCGCAACCATGAAAGCAGCATTGTGACCGATATTTATTCAACTTCGTGCCAGCAGTTTTCTGTATAGCCTCTGCTAGCGCTCCGCTGGTGCTCCAACGACGCTCCACATCTTTTGCTGTTACGCCTACTGCTACGCTGGATTGCGGAGTTCAGGGGTGACTTTGTAGTATAGAGCGATTTTTTCTGCCTGCGGATTTTCCTCTATTGCATCTTCTGTCGTTTTGCCTCTGCTTCATTTGCTTTTATTTTTTATGTTAGCTTATTAAACTGATATTAATTATAAAGCTTCACTTTTTATATGTACACAAATATTTACACTTTTGTTTTAAAGCTAAACTCTTTCTGAACCTAACACCAAGATTGCTATTTCTTAATGCGAAAATTCCGAAAAGTGGGTCATCATCCTCGGTCGCTTGGTAGTGGTGGTTTTCGATTTTCGTGCTTCGTACGTAACGGTCGAGTTGATTTTGGCTTTGGCTTTCAGCAACGAGTAGCTAAAATCGACTGACACAACTTTTCTGCGTGCTAGCGCAATGCTGTAGTGATTATGTGGTACTCGACTCGTTTCTTCTATGCGCGAGGAATCGATTTTTGTTAACAGCAACAATACAATAACAGATCAACATACCTTTGTCTCTGTATTTACAACTCTTAAAAGCTTTGTTTTCGTAATATATTAGCAGTTAAGGGCACCCCCATAAGACAAAAGCTCATATGCCCCCCTACATGTTGCACTGACTCTCTGGCCATAGTGTTAATCTCGCAGAATGTACAACCAATATCATGCATAAATCTTAGCATTTCATGAGCTGCAATTCACTGTGTTTCATATTAATGATTTTTATAAACCATATTTTAGTAGTTAAGTTTTTAAAACGTACTTTTTTCTATTTGAGCGAATTAGTCTAAATGATAACAGTTAAGCGCAATTATACAATACAGTACCTTCACTACTTAATTTTTTTTCTCTATAGAATTTTACTAAAAATTTATATTTCATAGGATTTTTTGTTAATCCGGAAATAACATATGTTTACTTTAGGGTTTACTGAGTATGACAGTTTCTTACGCTCAAGGTGTTTTTTATGTGGATAAAGGTATTTTAAGCACATGATACTAGTACCACAGTAAAAATAGAGAGAGAGAGCGAAATATGTACATATATATCTAACTCTTTGTTTACACGGTTTCTTTTTACATTGGATTTGAAGTTACACGGTTGAGAGAAGAAAACAAAACAAATTGTAAAAAATTTTTATCTAGTTTTCAAATTCACTGTCGTGTAATTATACATATATAGAGTATATTTATATAAAATATTGCTTAATTAAAGTGTCTAAAGTTTATTAGCTCGTAATATTTTATCAATTGTTCGTTCTAATTGATAGATTTTAACATTTCTGACCTTAATAAGTGAAAAAGGTATTCTATCTACAAATTTTTAGTAAAGCTTTAAATATAAAATGTTTGTCCTTACTACAGTTAACAAAATGTCCAAAATTTCAAAGGTTCGTAAAAGGCAAGCCATTTCTTTGGAAGTAAAATTAATATTCTTGAACTGTCTGGCAAGAGGTGAAGGTTCAACATCTGCTGGCAAGGATTTTGTCTTAAACGAAGCTACATTAAGAACAATGAGAATAAAATAAGGAAATCTGTCGAAAGTCACCATTAGATAATTTGATGGATATCTCCAGTGGTGATACCGACTTTAGACCAATTCGTAGCAAACAATTGCGCTTATTATCAAGTAGCGACAATTATTCGTAACTATGTCAATATTTTTTATTTATTTCTACATTATAATTGTATTATAATTTTTCTGTTCTTTATTCTGGATTAACAGATTTCTTTTGTTTTTTGCTTGCTCTACCAATTTTTCACCGTATTTGAATTATGTATTTTAAGTTTTAATGTTCAGTAAAATGCCCTATGAACATACAATTTGTATGCATATCTGAAATTATATAGTTTTCAACATTTTTTACACGGTTTTTCGAAGTAAATATAGTTTTTTATTTCATCTTACACGGTCTTCAGATGACATGGATGACATGGAACGGATCCCCCATTTTACCATAGGAAACGCCTCTTTTTTGTACACGGTTTTTTTTTTTTACACGGATTTCCAAGGAACGCATCTAACGTGTAAAAAAGAGTTGGGTGTACATACATACATATGTATTAGTCCTATTAAAATTATTCGAATAACCTGAAAGCCGATTATTATAATATCTTGTTCGCATGAAAAGTAACCGATAATAATATACGACTGGTCTTAACTTAGCGACAACTTGAATACTTGTTCTCTTGCGATAATTTGAATAAATGAAAATTATATGTAGAAAAAAATTTTAGAAGCTGATGTGCTGAACACAATGCTCGCGATAGACTGCAGCAGCACGACAGCGAACTGAAAATGGCGTTGTGAATCCTACTACATGAACAAAACAACGCAGTTCGTAGTGAATTTCGTTCAAAATGATATTTTTTATGCAAAAAATACGTAAATAGATAAATTTATTCGTTTCAAATTATCAATTGTTATTACAAATGATGTAACAGAGCTATTTTATGCTTTTATTTGTAAAATAACGTCAGGTTTGTTAGAGCTTTGAATAATTTTACATTTTACATATTAATGGCATCACCACCACTCTTACTCATCTCTATACTATCAACTCTACTATCGTTGGCAAATATAATATATTGAAGTGAGCGAGAACGACAACTGTCGGCCTTCAGTCGTGTAGTCTGCAGCTGTCAAAATAGGTCTGTCCCTTAGAACGTGGATATTTGAATATTTGACAGACTGCAAACGACATCTGTAAAATATTAAAATACACACGTTCTTATGGACAGAGTTATTGTTATGCCTTCTTACGAATGTTCATGTAGTAGGATTCACAACGCCATTTTCAGTTTGTCGCGTGCATTGTGTTCGGCACATTACTATTCATATAGTCGACCACGAAAGGTTAGCCGGGTAGTCGAAAGTGAGCGGTTAATCGAATAGTCAGCGACTATCGGGATGCTGCACATCGAAGATTATCGAATATTATTCAAATAGTATCTGGTTAATCCGGTTATTCGATTAGTTATAATATTTATATATATTATATTAAACTATGTATTCGTTAGGGAATTAAAATACTTTTGTGTGTATATACATTTATTGCGTTCAAATTATTCTTTCAATTTATTCATATACCATATTATATCAATAATTTAATAGGTTTTGGATTTATATAATGGAATACTTTAAATTACTTTTGCTGCTGAAATAAAGATAAAATTCCACTAATGTATATTTTAGTTTTCTATTCGCATTTACTTTTTACTGTCAACATTATTTGATTCGTTTGCCGTATCAGATAAAGTGCACTTATGAATACTGCATTCGATCTGAAATTGAGAAAAATACTTGTTTTAATTAAAAAAAAAAAAAGATAACACAAAATTTTATATATTGCCACATAAAACGTTTCATTACGAAAAAAAAAACTAACAGCACACTCAATAAATTATAAGAGATACACTTACAAGAAATCCTTCAAAAATCATTAAATAAAAAAAGGTATTTTGGATAATTATATTTTTTTGAGGGTGAGATTAATTTTCAAAAGATAATTACTAATTTAATGAGCGTATAGGAATATTTATTATTCCCGATACTTCATCAGCTATGATTTTTCAAAAACTCTGATGAATATTAAATTTATAACTCAACTTATTATTGAATCTGGTAGTTTCTCTTGACAACATGACTTATCACGTAGTGTAGTATGTCCGAATTTCTTATTGTTAATGGCAATGACATCAATTAATTTTATGATAAGATTTTCAAACATCATATTAAGTGCGATAAGCATAAGTACAGTATTAAAATTCCATACCTTTAAATAATTTTTAGAATTTACTTTTTAGATATTTATATATGAGCATGTCTGTTGTAATATTATGATTAAATTTTATTAAAAATCTATCAATATACTCACTGTCCCTCTTTGAAATATTCCTTAAGCGTTGTGCTAAATTTTTTGGAATATTTTACAAATTCCTTTTTACGTTGCTCAACCGCTTGTTTTCCTGTGACTCCTGGTATAAAGGATCCGATTTCATTAACCACATCCAATAGCTTTTTTATGGCGCTCGCAATTTCCCTATGTAATATAAAAAATTATAATTATTAAAACTACACAGGTATTATATTTCATATGCACTTAATGGTCTCCAAGAAGGCTTTACGATCGGTTATCTCTTCGGGTATACGACTTAATATGACTTTAAGAGCAACCGATTTTCGGTTTAGCTCTTGGAATGGTTCTTCAGTACGAGTAAGACGATATTCGTGTACTGCAATGTAAGTATGATTTGATAGAATATTTTCTAAACATTTTTATGTTTATAATTTATCTTACAATCCGACTCGGCTATATTTCCTTGCAAGCGAAGTACTGCTTCATTTAAATTAACATTTAGTTCAGCACGACGTATAATGGCCGCCACGAGATCATAACATAAACCTGGGTTATTTTGCTCACATTTCATTATGGCTGAACGCAGAGACTGTGCTGCCCCAACATCTCGACGCTCCAACTACAAGCAAAAATATTAATTCAATAATGCAACACAGCTAAATGCTGTTTTAATAATCTTCAACTTTATTTGGCGAGCACACAAACCTTTGCAATGATGGGCCTCAACAATACTGGAAAAATTAGAGAAGATGTTGGTGTTTCACCACCCATTGTCATTTTTTCAGCTACTTTCTGCTCTTTGATCGCTTACTCCTTCAGTTTATTTTTATTTCTCAAAAATTTACACTGCTCTATTATTAATTAACTTATGGAAATGGAATTTGAATACGAAAGAACAAAAATTCAGATAAAAATAAAAGCAGTCATGAGAAATACCAATAAAATTAGCAGTCGAATAGGTGAAAACGCATACAAAATACATGAAAGTTTGACGTTTAGCCAGCAACAATAAAAGATGTGTTTAGTAATCAAAATCGGGGTGGATGAAAGTGATTAAAGTGTGTAAAGCGAATAACGCTGTTAGTTGTTATAACATTAAACATTTTCTCCATCCCGTCTTTTTTTCTGTACGGAATTACTCAATCACGTATACTCTAAATTAAAGTCATTCATTATTAAATCTTTTTTATTACACCTGATACCATATTTTCCGTCAGCTGGCGTTCATGTAACTAATAGGCACAAGATGGGGCAAACTACAAATTGACAACAGAGAACGTATAATTATAACTCGGTTCACTCATCATCAAAAGTGGTGAAATCCTCTAATAGGATTTTTTTTAGCTCTTGACAGTTCACATGCCTATCCGCAGTTAAACCCTCTCTATATTATACGTTCTCTGTTGACAATTGCATTTGCTGAGACGATTCGTTTTTATATCTCTCATATTCTACACCAATTTGTCAAAATTTGCAGAACAAAAGAGTATTTAATAAATGTTTTCTTCGAAGTAAAGCGCATTTCGGAAGACATAAAATGTTAAAAGTAAGTGCAGCTCATGAAAAAAATTAATTACGAAATGATCATATACATCAATTGGTTTTATGTGATATAGGTGACTATCGGACAGGGTAAAGGCTTAAGGACCTTTCAAGAAGTATGGCCCGAAAAGCGTCTTATTGTACTGAAACTATTAAATCAGGAAACAGTTTCTCAATTGGAATGGCAGGAATTGTTTTATGGCGTACATTTGGTTTGTTTGTGGGATGAGAAAGGAGCCATAAAAATTTATGATTGCTTGCAAGCAGATATTGTCGAATTTATAGTGCATGCTCAACGCAAGTTGCAATCACAGCGCGGCGAACAGGCACTTCTCACAACATACATTGTAGAATGGCGTAAATTCTTCACACAATCCAATTACCTGCCACTACCTTTTCGTCAGTTAGAGCAGTCTCTTCAGTTCAAGGTGCCCACGTCCACCTCAACATCAGCATCTAGTTCCTCTGCCGCCAGTACAAGTGCCAATACTGCATTGACTTCAACGGCGGCCGGTCCCTCCACATCAGCTGCTGCCGCCGCTATCTCCACAACTTCACCTTCAGGTGGTAGTAGTAGTAAAAAAAATACCACTGAAGTTTCTATCGTCCGAAAACTTATGCTTGACTCGTGGAATGAACATATATTTTGTGATATAAAAGATCGTTTACAAGAATCGGCAATGAAAATTGTGCATGCCGAACGCAACGGCGATGCGTATGATGCGCAGCTAGTGATTGGTGTGCGTGAAAGCTATGTCAATTTATGTTCTAGTCCAGACGACAAACTTCACATTTATCGGGAAAATTTTGAAGCTGCTTACTTGAAGGCAACCGCAGCATTCTATCGCCTCAAAACTACAGAACAACAACAAGCAAACGGTGTATTGGCTTTTATGAGATATGCAGACGCGAAATTGCGGGAAGAAGAAATTCGTGCGAAACGATACCTTGAACCAAGTAGCTATTGTGATCTGATTCAAACCTGTGTCAAGGCACTAGTCGGTGATCATATGAACATAATTATCGCCGAGTGTGCTGCGCTTATAAGAGAATACGAAACAGAAAAACTAAATCTTATGTTTCGTCTTTTGGATCGTGTACGTGATGGTGTTGAACCGATGTTACGTGACTTAGAGAGTCACATTGTTACTGCTGGTCTAGCAGATATGCTCTCGGCCTCCGACGTAATCACTCAAGACTCGGAAAAATACGTTGAGCGGCTACTCGAACTATTTAATAAATTTAGTTCATTAGTAAAATATGCCTTCAAGGATGATCCTCGATTCTTAACGGCGCGTGACAAAGCCTTCAAAACGGTTGTCAACGATACAAGCGTATTTAAGGTAAATTTCCATACATCGCAATCAAAATATTTATTTACTTTTAGTTTTTTGTTTTCTATTGACAGCTCGAACTGCCAACCGGCCTAACAAATCGTGGCGTTAAGTCCATCACTCCGGAGAGTAAATGTCCAGAACTTTTAGCAAATTATTGCGACATGTTACTGCGTCGTACGCCATTAAGTAAGAAGCTCACTAGTGAACAAATCGATGCTCGATTACGCGATGTACTATTAGTGCTAAAATATGTCAATAATAAAGACGTATTTATGCGCTACCACAAAGTGCATTTGACAAGAAGGTAAGAAACGAGCCGTGATTTACTTTATCAACATCAAGTCACATATTAGTTTTATTTTTTTATTTTTACAGACTTATACTTAGTACCAGTGCTGACAGCGAAAAGGAAGAGGACATTGTTGAATGGTTACGAGAAGCGGGTATGCCGGCAGATTACGTGAATCGCTTAGGGCGTATGTTCCAAGACATTAAAGTGAGTTGAGATCACTAGAGATAACTGAAAAACTAAACAAGATTAACTAAATATTTTACGGCTTTTCTTTCAGCTTAGTGAAGATCTAAATACTCAATTCCGAAGCTGCACCGGCCGTCACGATGCAATTAATATCAAAATTCTAAATGCCGGGGCTTGGGCACGGTGCTCTGAACGAGTTTCTGTGAGTCTGCCCCTTGAATTGGAGGATTACATTCCTGACGTGGAAGAGTTTTATAAGAAAAACTTTTGTGGTCGTAAATTACAATGGTATCATCACATGAGCAATGGTACAATTACATTTGTAAACAATTTCGGTCGATACGACCTGGATGTAACTACTTTCCAAATGGCCGTACTTTTCGCATGGAATCAGCGTCCGCATGATAAAATTTCGTACGAAAATTTGCGTTTAGCGACAGAGTTACCAGGCTAGTGTGCTTTGTATAATTACAACATCGAAATTTAATTATTATTGTGTCTATATATTCCACAGATCCCGAACTCAGACGAACACTCTGGTCACTTGTAGCGTTTCCAAAACTGAAAAAACAAATTTTGCTTATGGAACCCGCAACAATAACAACCCCGAAAGACTTTTCAGAAAATACTTTATTTAGTGTTAATCAAGAGTTTGCTGTTGTGAAAAATGGCAAAGCACAGAGAAGAGGAAAGGTGCGTATTGTTAACATATTATATCACTTCAGTTATTCTATCTAAACTAACTTTTCTTTGCTTTTGCAGATGAACATGATTGGTCGTTTGCAACTGAGTACAGAGCGTTCACAACAGGAGGACAATCAATCAATAGTGCAGTTGCGTATATTACGGACCCAGGAAGCCATTATAAAAATTATGAAGATGCGCAAACGCTTGAATAATGCAACCTTGCAAGCCGAATTGATTGATATACTCAAGAATATGTTTTTGCCTTCGAAAAAAATGATTAAAGAGCAACTGGAATGGTTGATCGAACACAAGTATATGCGACGTGATGATGATGATATCAATACATTCATTTATGTGGCTTAATGAGTGCTTGAACATGCAGCTGACTAGGCTGGGCCGCACCTTTTTTACGATCTTTTAAAAATTGAAGTGGTCCAAATGTGGGATTCTACTTATAATACATACCTAAATATACTATAATAATACGTTAGTTTAAGATATATAGGTTAAAAATATTTACAATGCCAAACATTTGCAATTTCTTTTCAAGTGTTTATACGAGCTGGTTCTTAAATTATGTTTAACATTCGATACTAGTTAGAACATTAAATTCATTGTCACTGACTTCAAGTCACCATTGCATTACTTACAGATAACTCGATCATTCGATTATCAACTTATGACTGCTTCATTTCACACTTTTTTAAATATGTATATCCCAGTTAGGTGAATATTATATTATTTCATTGTTTTTATATTTTTTAATTGTATATTTTATATTATATGTATTGTATGTATTTGATGTCGATTGTTATCAAATATCCGTTTATTACCATTTTTTAAATTTTATAAAATTAGGTTTTAGCCAGACAGTTTTATTCGTCCTTTACCCACATATATCATTAATTGCAATGTGAATTGAGCGTTCGAAAGGAAAGAGATATTCCATACACGAGAACACATGAGTCGATTCATGCGTATCCGTTCCCACGACAGTCGGGTCTACGAAAACCGGAACGGATCCGGATTTTTATCCGGCCAAGGACTGTCAACTCGGCAGATTTCTGCCGTTACAACAACAACAACAACATTCATGCGTATATTTGAAAGAAGCAACTTTTTATCAGCAATATTTATACTAAATCTCAAAAATGCAAACAAACTTTGTTACACATACGTGTGAAGAGGATAATAGAATTACGTCGATATAATGAACATAAATTACTTTGAAATTTAAATACTTATACATATATAAATATATCAGTAAATATTAAGTTAATTAAAAAGAAAATATACATATATAATAAAAGAATTCGTTTAACATCCTTAGAAAACTTATGAAAATAAAAAAAGTCGAATCATGAAAACATCTAAGAACTACAAGTTACTAAATATGTTTCTTATTGTATTACGCCAGTTTCAGAAAGAAAAAATTGGCATTTCTGCCACCATGATTAATTATTTAGAAGATGTCGTGAATAGAAAAGATCGTTTAGAGTTTGCTCATATTAAGCTAAAATAAATAAATCAAATACATAATAAAGGGTAAGCTTTGCAGCCACTAATATACATGTATATAGGCGTTTAATATTTTGCTGGAGTTTATTTTCTTACCATTTTTTGCTTATTACATTTATATTCTCTTAAACTATAGCAAGCTGCCATGAAAAATATCAATAATTTTTGTAACAAAACAAAATTACTAATTTCCATATGTACGTATGAAAGTATGTAATATAAATACTTATGTTTTATGTATCGGCGATCGTTTAGAGTTTCAGTTAAGTGTTATGAATCTCGTCCAGTAAAAACTTCAGTACATTAAAACTTATCCATTTAGTTATAAAATATGTTTTAAGATTATAATCTAATCAATACAGTTACGGAAGACGTAACAAAACTACCTGCGCTTATATGTGTACACTATGTTCAAATACACGTTACACTCTAAGCCGCAAAACTTAAATATGTATATCTTCTTATGCCTACCTAAATTATATGAATTACTCATAAAGTTCATGTAAGCTATCGCCGTTGTCAACTTTACTTTCGTCGTCGTGCTTTACGATACCCCTTGCCATACCATCCTGCTTGAGTGCGCGCCAATTTGCGAGGGAAAGTGTTGCTCAGCTGCAATTGACGTTTGGCCGCCTCAGCCGCGGCTATATGTGCCAAGGAAATATTTTCATCGTAGTCATCGTCGTCTTCATCTGAATATGAACAGCACTCACATACCACAAAACGCCCATTACGTGCGCGTTTTTTATGTTTACGTTCATTAAGATGCCATTTTCGATAAAACTGACACTCGAATTCGGCATAGTTATCAAAGCAAAAATCACACTCAGCCGCAGATCTATTCATGGCGAATATCGGTATTACTTGATAGTTCCAAATATTCATATCAGCTGGCGGCGGATAAACAATACTATGAAGACCTGAATAGGCATATTTGACATCGTACCAACAAGGCAATTTGCTTAATAGCCAGTAACGTTGTGTACCAGCCCCCTCCAAAGCTCTCTGCTTTGCTAATTTTAGAATGTCCATTTGGGCCACAACGTTCTCACAACTGGACTCATCATCGTCAGAATTAATTACGTTTACCATAGTGCTCAAAACCTGAGTTAATTCGGGTTTAACGACTTTAAATGACTTATTCTGCCTAATGGGTACTAAAGCAGGCATTTCAAAAGGAATTTCTGTTTTAACTTCTACTTTAGTATCTATTTTCCCTTCATCGACTTCCTTTTTAAGGGAGCAGATATTTTTTAAGGCAACCTTGCTGTTGTTTGTGTTCAAGGTAAACTTCTTGTTCGTTAGACTTGCGTCATCCTCTATCTTTACGTCAGAATTTAGAGCATTCACAGCTGTTGAATTAGTAACTAAGAATTCCGATGCATATTCCACTTTAATTTCGTGTTCATGTTTCATGTCCACATCCAAGGGTATAGTAAAATCCAGCTCACTATGCGCCAATGGCTTTATAATTTCATTGTCACACTTCTCATTTATAGAAGAATGTCCGTCTATTACCTCTTTCTTGATACATTCAATTTTGTGACTTTCGTCTAACTGTAAATTCCGCCGATTGTCTACCATATCCATTATTTCGTTCGGCTTTAATAAATCCATTTTAAATGAACAACCATCGTCAATTAAATTAATGTTTGCTTCTTTTTGAGTACTTTGTTTTCCATTTATTTTATCCTTGTATATCGTTTGATCACTCTTTTCTGTTGTTTCTATAGAGCTTTTATCGCTCCTTTCACTATTGATATCATCATCACAACTCTGGGTACCACTTCCGACTTCTGTACGTGGAATTTTGTATTTCAACTTCAAATTCGTTTTTATACGGGTACTGCTCTTAAGGGGAGTACGTATACGAGGCCCTTTGCCTATCGGCATATCCGCACCACTGTCTCCCGACATTATCGAGTCCAAAGTTTCTTCAGTCGCACTGGTGCATGTTTCAGGTTCATCTTCGGCGGTCTCAGTGTCTTTGTCCAAAACTTCGCCACCACCTTTTAGCAGAGGCTGTGTTAACGTGTGCAGCTCCTCCGGCATAAGTAGAGATGCGTGAGCAAATATCGGATCCTTCTCTTTTGTGTATAATGGAACAGTTATGTTGAGTGCACGCATTAAAATTTCCATAACCCGATCACATTTACCATTTATTTTTATTGTTGCAATACTATCTTTTGGGGTCCACTGCAAGTTGACGATGCATATTTTTGCCCGTTGTTTTGCTGGACGGTCCATTTGCCACAGCCAGGTATATTTTTTTAACACCTTCAAGCTAGATCCTAAACATAAAATAACATCAGCTTTCTCTGCGTGTTGGCAGGCACCAGCCCAATTTAATGGCCACTTAAGGTTTCCGCGCTCACCAAAATGTACGATTGTATCATAAAGTGGTTCTGAGCAGCGATGACAAAGTCGATTTGTTTTATGGCAATACCGTGCAGTCATTTCGGTGGTGTCAAACAATCTCCAATATACCGCAGGACCAGGTTTGCATTGTTTGCACACCTCCATATACATGTTGCCGTGTATTTCTGACAGAGATGCTCGCGGTAACCCCGAACGCAAATGTAATCCATCGCAATTTTGCGAAACAACATAACGTAAAAGTCGTCGTCGATGCAACTCGTAGAGTGCCATATGAGTGTAAGTTGGATTTGCTGCTGATAAATCATGCTCCCCGATATCTTCACCTTTTTGTAATAAAGTCCAAATGCCCTTACTGCCACGGTAATCTGGTATTAAAGCAGATGTACTAATGCCAGCACCTGTATAGCAAATTAAATGTTTGGACTGTGCTATTATCGCTGCCAAGTCTTCTACCTTCGCTTCTATGACATGCGGCTCATCTTCTTTTTCAACGATGCGGTCCTTGTAGATTTCAACCCGCTCTTTTCGTTTTTTTATTTGTTTTACAATATCCGGATATTTTTCACATAACTGGCGCTCTTCTGAGGTCAACAATGAATCGCATTTTTTGAAAATAGTTGATATCTAAAATAAAGAGACACTTTAAATATGTATGCACCACAACTGTACACTTGGACGTATTTTGTCAACTCAGGGTGGTTTTTGTAATTTTAAACTTGGTGTAACACCAATTCTCACCACTTGTACCCACCCTCTAGTTTAGTCACTTAAAGCTATCAAAACTAATTCTATGTCCCAATTACCTTTCGCATTGCATCTTTCCGTCTTCGCTTCTCGTTATCACTTTTAGCAGGATTCATTTTAGCCCTTGTTATATATGATCCCTTATTGCCATGATGTTCATTTCTCAGAATTCCTTCGGCGCTGTCACCAAAAGACATTCCTTCTAATGGCTTTTGCACACCTTTATGTGCATCTGTGTCATTCGCCATGTCGTCCTTTTTAAGGAAGCACTTCGAAGTTGTTCACAACGCAGCAATAACGTCACGTTCAAAGAAACTCGTTCAGCAAGAGGATTAGCATATATTTTATAAGTTTAGCATATGTAGATACACCACGAAAATATCACGCACAAAACAAAACAATTAAAATTGCGGCGTTAATCACCGTCTTTTGGTAATTATGTAAAAATCAATTGCTTCGATGCACATTTCCCAAAAGTAAGTGAACTGACGGTAACAATTTTCACAAATGAAACAATGTTGTATTTATTTTATATACACTTATTTGTTACTAATTATTTATTTTCTGTGTATAAAATGTAAACAAACAAATGAGCGCGTACTACATGATGCGCTGCTTTAATTCCTCTGTTTCTGTGGTCGTCTCGTTGATTTCCTTGTTGAAAGTATGCGTCGCAGTCATATTTGTTGTTTTTTATACATGCGTATTTTGAAGTTTCATATCAGTGTTGCCAGTTTAGGAAGGCCATTAATGTTTATATTTTGCTTACATCAGCGAGCATAATTTTATATCGCGATAGTATAGTTGGTATATTGCTGCATTCCGTTTTTTAAGGAATCTTAAATACATAAATTCTTTTTTACATAACCCAACTTAAGTAAAAAGAGGGATTCATTCTATAGGTTATGTAATCTTTTGAAGATTGACAAATTTCTTTAATATATAAAATATATCTTACAGTAATTAATAAACTAATTTTTAGTTGTAACCAAGGACAAGAGATCAACTACCACCAGAACGTTTTATATTTTGTTCGAAACCAATTATCATGGAAGATTTTTAATTAAAAGGTGGAGGGTTCATTTAATATTAAACTTGAAAAACTTTGTGGTTTGGAATTTTGAAAAAAAAAAGAGAAAAACTAGAAAGAAAGTTAGGGAACCCCTTTGTTAATTTAAGAGTGGCGAAGAAGAATTGATCAACCAACAACAGAGTTTAAAAATTTCATCAAGAATAGCGAGTATATGAATTAGCATATACTAGTGCACGGCTTAGTAAGTCTCTCTTCTTAGTGGAATTAAAAGATGTTTGTGTACGTACAAATGGTACAATGACAGTTTAGTGAAGCGCCCACAGTTCAGCTTCACAGTTGCAAAAAACGTTAGAATAAATTTTTTTCGATAATATGCATCAGTTCAAACACAGTTCACCGGCCCTACTGCTACTCATCTTATGGCTCTGTGGAAATAAGTGGAAGATCGCTGGAGGACAAAATATCCTTCGAACTGAAGTAAGAAGTAAGATTTTCAAATTTGTATACATTGAGGGCAGTATTATTTTTAATCGGTTAAAATTTTTTTAGCATGCACTGAGGTCAAACGACAAATATTCGAAGAGGTGAAAACTTTTAGTGCTTATATACATGGAGCCCAAGAATTGAAATTTACTGTAGATAATTGTAAACCATATGCTCCGCTAATAGTAGGGGGAAGTCCAGCGAGTCCTAAAGAGTTTCCACATATTGCACGATTAGGTCACGCCAGTATAAATAAGCTAACAGAATGGTTTTGTGGAGGTACTCTTATAAGTGAGAGATTTGTTTTGACTGCAGCGCATTGTTTCTCCACAAACCGGTAAGTACGAATACTTATATTGTATAAATGTATATGTGTTTTCAATTGTGCATGCACATATAGACATTTATGTAAGAACAGACTTTCATATAAATGTGGTATATACTTAGCAACATATGAGCTGCATCATAGGTTATCATCCAAGCTATACATATAAGCAACATCTTTGCTCGATAACAAAATGCCGGACTCACAACCAACAGTATGAACTACAAATTCTCACTAGCCCTTTTATTTTTTTAAATTATTCATAAAATAAAACAGTTTTTATCCTCCTGACTTCCACAGTGGCGAAGTAAACATTGTGCGATTAGGAGATTTGGACTTTGGCAGAGAATCGGATGATGCGCGGCCAGAGGACTTCCGTGTTCGACGCTACATAGAGCATAATGAATACAACAGTGCAACAATCTACAATGACATAGCACTCGTAGAACTGGAACGATCTGTAACTTTTGACGCATATAAACATCCTGCATGTTTGCCCACCAATTCTGGAGACGGGTTTCAAAAAATGGTGGCCATTGGTTGGGGGAGCACACGTTTCGCCGATTCTGATTCGAAAAAACTTCTAAAAGTAACCCTCAATCGGCTGGGCTTTGATCAATGTCAACGTGCTATCGCGTTTTCAGATATAGATCAACTCCCCAGGGGTGTGGAGAATCGTTTACAAATATGTGCTGGTTCGAATGAAGCAAAAGATACTTGCAGCGGCGATTCGGGCGGTCCATTATTAGCATACCATCCAGATTATCCGTGTATGTACACCGTTATTGGCATAACATCATACGGAATTGGCTGTGGTATACCCGGACAACCGGGTATTTATACCCGAGTATATAACTACATTGATTGGATACGAATTAATGTTTGGGGGCAAAGGTAGAATATACATGTTTACACATAAATTACTGGACAATTAAAAAAAAATAGAAATAGCCCTTACAAAATTTGTTTTTTGTATCAATAACTTATCTATGACAGCTTAAAAGGAGGATTGAAGTTAAGGAAAACTCAAGTGAAATAAGCATCTAGGTTTGCTTATCCATTCACTTATGGAAATAGATTTCGTGTTCCCATTGGAAATCAAATCTTAATTCAGAGAGTTATTAAGAAGTCGAAAAGTGGAATAAATGAGTCATATTGTGAATTTTCTTCTATGTAGCGGCATCAATTTATTACTATAACAGATTTAATAATATGTATGTATAAATTTATATCGAACTTGTTTTGTGCTCTAAATTTAAAACAATTTAAAGCACTTGACATAATTGCATTAGGATTCAAGTCTATATATAATATTGATTAGCATTTTGCAGCCGCGGAATTGTTCATTCCAGTGCGTGTGCGCTTATGCGAATCGTACCGGCGCGCATTTTATTCTATACTAAAAATCGACATATTTCTATGCATACGTAGATATTAAGTTAAACATATGTATATGTATATCTTTATGTTATTGCGTTGATCACAACAACCACAAGCCTTTTTGTTAATTCGTTTTTCGACTTTTTTTTTTCAACGGACGAATATGCATTATAAAGATGTTTGTATAACTTTTCCGAGATCTCGTAAAAATTCACGTTTCTACCAAAATATGTGTAAATAAGCTATGCAAGCGACGCTCCTTCTCTGAGTAGATAAGTGAATTTAATCCATCTGTTAGAAAGCGTTTATATCCGTTTCGTAACAGTTCCAAACGAGCTTCGTTCTTCTTCTCAGGTTTGTGGCGCATCATCGTATATGTACTGTAGCTTGGTTCAAAGCGACATATATCTATTTTATGCGAATATAATCTATTGAATAAATCATCATCTTCTCCTCCCCAACCCTCATATAAATTAGACATTCCGTTAATAAACCGATATTGATGTGTACGAATGGCTACAACACCTCCAAATAGTCCTCGGTAAGGTAATGTGAAACGGAATATATCGAGTGCAGAGCACATATGGCGAGGCTTCTGCGTACAGGCGTACAGTTGTCCCAAGTTCATTGGAAGTAAATCGACATCATGCAATATTAAACAAGGGAATTCGAGTTCTGCTGCAATTACTGAGCCAATATTGAATAGTTTTGCCCGATTGAACGGTTTCTGGTCATATTGTTCAACTAAGAAAATTCGATAGTGAATACGTTGCTGTCGCAAATAATTATGCATGTAGATGAGAAAAGCATGAAGTTGTTCCTCACGTTTTCGGTAAGGCACAATGATTGCCGTACTAAAGCGTGCACTGCAATCCTCTGGAAAATATTCGCCACCAGGCAAAATTTCTTCTCCCCGCAGCACATGCTCACGATATTGAGAATGATATGTAATAACGTTATCTGCAAAGATATCACTGTATTCACATGGTGGCATACGTTGCATTGAAATATTGGTCGTAACTTGTTCAACAAGCGCATGTTGTATTTCATTTCGATGTAAATATTCATAATGAGAAGCAAATCGCCATGGCATAATCCAATATATCACTAAAGCGATACCTGCGATACGTACAATCAAATCCGTAACATGATATTTTTTTTGTTTTATTTTTAAAAACATATTTCCAAGTATTTCATATAATCGCCAATTGTGCTTTCACTGTATGCATATCACACATGTTTTAAGTTATTTAAAATATTTAATAAGAAAACGCATAATTTTAATTTATAAAGTTCACTGAATGTATTGTTATGAATCAGCTGACTCTGTGATGCCATTAAATTTTGAGTTGATTATATTAAAATAAAAATTGGCAACACCTTACAGTGTTACCACAAGTAGCGACCGTACCCACTAACGTCGGTACACGTAACATGAACAGACCCGGAATTTTATATGGCCCAGAACAACAACAACAAACACAAGTAAATATGTAAAAAAAAAGGGGAGCACAATGAACTCGTCTCCAAGCAGTTCCTGCTAGGATGTTTTCATAGGAATCACCCTTGTAGCCAACTGCTTGGAGCGGAACCGCCTCCTAAGAACATCAAAAGGTCTTTCCTTGACTACGTCGACGACGTCGTACAGTACGCCGACCGGACTTCGGACGCAACTGACTTTCGACAGGTACTGACCGCCATTCACAGTGGAGCCATCAATACCTACACCGACTCCCTTCCCGTGAATGTCTTTCTTGGGGTCAAATCACCATCTATCGCAGACGAAGAGCTCCAGTTGCTGCGAGAAATGCGAGCGACCCTAGCGCAACTTCGTTCTGGATATTGTAGCAGCTTAAACTTCTAATTATCCAGAATTGACCCATACCCATACCCAATGTATGTTCTGCATGTAACGACTCCCGCATGATACTGGCCACCTCTTTGCATGCCTTACAAACCCAATTCATCTAACACCCTCCTTCCTTTGGTCCGACCCCGTGGAAACAGCACGTTTCTTGGGCCTCCCTAAAGGGGACTAGATAACCTTTAAAATAACAACAACAAGTGAAGATTTGAAGGCACTATGGTTGGCTATCGCACAAAATAATCTCATTTAAAAAATAAAATCGTTATCTTTAACTAGTAGTGAAAACTAATTACTTTAATCTCTATGTTCCTTAAATTTACTATTGTGTAAAATGTAATATGGCCTCAATTTATCCCTTATTTAGCAATGTCTCCCAACTTTTCACGGCACTGCCAATCATAATTTAAGAAACAAGAACAAATGAGGGTAAAGCAGAAAACGTCGATAAAGCAGAATGAAAGCAAATAATAGAAAATTATGAAGTAGATCAGTAATTGAGAGAAGCGTAAGCAGCAAGCAGCTAATATGGTGTGGAATAGGCCGTTGTGAAGTTACTAAAAATTCGTTTGTAGTAAAACTTAGAGCAATTGATGAAACATCGTTCCAAGATAACTTTTTAAAGTTTTAAAATAAAAGTATGCATATAAAATATATTGATAATAACGAACTAATGAACAGATATGAGCGCAAAGTGAAAGAAAGTAGGAAGAGAACGTGAAAAATCGAAGTGAAAAAGTGAGTGGGGGCAGCAGCCTCAGCAGCAGCGGCGGCAGAAGCAGCGGTAGTCAATTGAAAAGGTGAGCACGCCAAAGTAAGATTTACCAAAATGTGGTAATAATGGTGTCAAGCCGTGATATATTATCGTTGAGATAGTAGCAAAAAAACAGGAAACTCGTACAACATGATCTGAAATGTGCCGATGGCTTCCAACGGTGAGGCTTGTGTTCACTATCTATATAAAAACTCTTAACATGCTGTGTTATTCTGAGGAGACACCATGTCGACGTTGGAACTATGTGAGACAAATATTTGCTGTTTTTGAGTTTATTTTACTTCAAAATTTTAGAGTATATTTACTATAAAACAGTGCGTACATTAAAAACAAAAAAATGAATGAAAAATGCATATATATATGTATATATATTTAAGTATTCATTAACTAAGCAATAATGGATACGACATAAACCATATTTAATGCAGTTAGGGCGCGAAAAGCATTACTGAAAATCGGAAAAATTTTACGAATTGTATTTTCTTGTAATTGTTGGTGTTTAATGCTTCTCTCAGACTTTATGTACCGCACTTGAGTGACTACGTGCTTTAATTATCACCGCGCCGTCAAACTAAAAATGCACCACCATTACTATTAATGCATTCCATACGAGTCGGCGCATTTTCTCGTTATTAATTAATTTCTTCGTTTAAACATATTCTTATACGACTTATAATTATTTTCTAAAGTATATCTGCGTTCGCTGTAAACATTATTTTCCATTTTTATCATGTATAATCCACCTGCGCCGCGTTTAATTTCTTGCATGTTTTTCTTTAATATGTGTATGTCCTATAGTTATATATACAATTGCATAGCTACCGACTAACAACTCCATTTTCTTCTATTTATACAATTATTTCTATTGGGAGATCCTTACTAATGACATGTGTGTGTGTTTTTTTTTTTTTCCTTTTTAAGGTTGGTACGCCAATTGGAGATCTCTTCCTCATCAAGATAAACTGAATCGAAGGCAAAAGGACTATTTAAAACATAATAGTGTGAATAAGAGGTCAGGCTGTATATTAGCCATATTATTATTTGGTCTGTAAGACAACTGCTGGTCAACTGGGCGCTGTAACAAAAGTGTTCTTGGTGGTAATTAATAATTATCTAGTTTGCCATCCACTGCGATGGCAGTGAAAGTGCAATTCGAGATCGGTCATACGGCGAGGCTGCGCAGCAAAAAAACATCCGAAGGCTTTACACATGACTGGGAATTGTACGTGCGTGGTGTTAAGGAGGCAGATATCAGCACCTACGTTGACAAGGTCGTTTTTAATTTACACGACTCTTTTCCAAAGCCAAAGAGGGGTAAATAGCACAACTTTTTCATTTCAATATATACAGCGGATAATAATAAAACATATAGAAGACACACTTCTACACTGTATACGCGTAAATGTGTGTTCTTTCATAAGTGTGTATGTATGGATGTATTGTGATTCAAACCATAGTCTAAGAAAAAGTTGTATGAATAGATGTGTCTGTAAATTTGTTGTGGGGTAGAATACATTGTTTAGAGGGTGGTTGTTGACGTGCGAATATAAGGGATGCGTAGCGTTTGCTCTGCACAAATCCTTGTTGACTTGGTTTGGCTGTTGTTTTTTTCCCGGTCCCTCGTTTTGTTTTCTATACACTTTTGTAACTCAAAAAAGACATGATCTCGTTAACAGGAATAACAATTTATCTTTTTGTGTTTTGTTTTTAGCTGGCCGCAGTTTGACGAGTAGTTATTGTAGAACCCGCATTGAAAAGATTAACCGATAGCAGTGCAAGAAGAAAAAAGAAAGGAAGATTAATTTGCTAATAGTATCGGAATATACTTCAATGCACGAAATCTTTAACTAATACACTGCCTGCTTTTGCATTGCTAAAACTAAGTAAATCAGTTTAAATCGGTTAATTAATGGACTATTTAAGTCTTCGAATATGTACAGTGTTTATGGATTGCTTACATGAAATCTGTCTTCGACAAATTAACGCCTCTTCCATTAATAGCTACTAATTATCTACACGGAAGTTACATATGCGTTCCCTTGATTTTATTTATTATAAATGCGATGAAAATACACAATATATGCATACGTACATACCTATCTAAGTGCTACTTATCTATAATCACCCTCAGCTAAAATGTTGCACCTCAATTAGTGTTTGCAGCATTAATTGGTTATCAACTCAACCAAATGCCACTTCTTTACGTTAGAATCTACTTGCATTTCAACCCTTATCATGTTGCCCTTTGATAATCGTGATTTTTACACATAATAAAATTGAAATCGTACTAAAAATTTAATTTGATTTTATTAGTTTATTCACATATCAAGTAAAGAGTTGGGAAACAGGTACAGCAATATAAATGGTTTAGCCCAGTACTTCTATGGCTTCCTTCATTTTTCTCATCGGAGTTTTTGGGAATAATTAATTTAGTTTGGGATATAACGATGTCTTTTGAAAAAACCAAAATATGCAATGATAGTTAAAACTTGTGCATATCGCAATAAATTTATATATTCGTAGTGCATTTATTTGCCTATAATTTCGTTTTATATAATTTATAACTATTTTCCTATATTTTTCCTCCTACAGTTTGCAACAAGCCACCATACGTGATAACAGAGTCAGGTTATGCTGGATTTTTGCTCCCGATCGATATTTACTTCCGCAATCGCGATGAGCCAAAGCGTATACAATTCACTTACGACTTAGATTTGCAACAGACAGGACCGCCACATCATCGCTTTGAAGTCCAAAAATTTGTATTTGATCATGTTTCGGATGAATTTCGTCAAAAGTTGCTCAAAGGTGGTGGCATACCAGTGACTGGTGCAGGAATGGTTGGAGCTGCCACCGTTTCATCCACTAACAACACCCCGAATGCCGCTATTAGTGACGAAGGCGGTGGTATGGTTAGCAAGCCGAAGCTAGGTAGCGGAGAATCAATTGGTGGCAGTGGCGGTAAAAAACATAAAACTCGTGTAGATGACTCGAAGAGTAATTCATTTGCCAATCTATTTGGTGCACCAATTAAAAGCGGGTCAAGTAAACATTCGCCTGATGAAAAAAATAATAGTTTGAATACTGTTGGCGGAAAGGGAACTCCGAGTACTAGCAACGCAAGCGGTAGCGGTGCTGGAACTGGAGGTGCAGTTACACCCAACTCTGGAAATATCAACTCCAACAACTCCATTGCAAAAGAAAAATCTAGTAAAGATAGAGAAAAAACGAACTCTTCAACGTTGGTTAGTAGTAGCAACGAAAAGAGTCGAGAAAAATTTGATAAGAAAGAAAAGCACAAGTCCTCATCCAGTCCTAATAAGGAATCACGTAGTGAAAATAAGAAATCCTCTGGAGATAGTAGCAAACATGAAAAACGTGAGGAGTCCAAATCAAAAAAGGATAAATCACGCGACAAAGAGCGGGATCGTAGTCGTGAGAAAGGTTCAAGTGGTGGCACCAAACGCTCTCTAAGTCCAAAATCGAATGTCCGCGATGCTGGCGCGCCGAGCCCAAAGCGTCCAACGCCGCCACGATCTTCTTCATCCGCAAGCGGACGCGTAGAGGATATTAAATCAGCTGGTAGTAGTAGCAAAATTGAGGGGAAAGAATCAAAGTCTCGCGAGGAAAAGTCCACATCAAGTGGTAAAAAGTCAAAGAAGGAAAAGAAGGACAAGGAACGCGATAAAGAGCGTCGTGATGAACATAAAGAAAAACATCGTAGTGGCGATGGTAAGTCAAGGGATCCAAAAGACGAACGCCATGGAAATATAATAAATAGCAGCAGTAATACTGTGACGACGGCTACAACATCTAGTGGAAACACTATTACGAATGAAGCTAAAGATAATAAAGGTCAACAGTCACCAGCAAACTTTAGCATTAAAAAACCAGATAAAGATGCGAAAGAGAAAACAGAAGCTGTTAAAGGGAAGAATAATGATAAAAATATAGACAAAATATCGACAAATCCAACAACTACACAAGTAAGTGGTACGAATGCCACAACTACCAGTGGCGATAAGAAACTACCAACCAGCTCAAATAATCAGAGTGAAAAATTAGAAAAGGAAAAGGACAAAGATAAAGAAAAGGAAAAGAGATCTCATAAACACAAGAAAAAGGATAAGAACAAGGATAAAGATAAGGAACGTGAAAAAGAGCGTGATAAGGAGAGGCACAAAGAAAGAGAGAAGGAAAAAGAGAAAGAACGCGATAAAGAGCGATCTGAAGAAAAGTTGCGTTCCGAAAAGCACACAGAAACTAATTCAAATGGGAATGCATCCTCAATGGGAGCCGCATCTACAGCTATATCCGGATCCAAAGTAGCGTCTCTGCCTGTAGAGACGACAGCACCACAAAATGAACCCCCTAAGCCTGAACCGAATAGCGTAACATCCTTGTCGAACAACAACTCTACTAATTCCAATAACCTAAACAACAATGCCAATGGTTCCGCACCTATTGCGCCAATTAAAAAGTCACAAATTAGAGATAGAAAAAACAAAGATAAATCATCTAAAGAAGAGAAAAGGAATTCAGGTGAATCGGGTGAATTGGAATCGCGAAGCAGTAGTAAGCATGCTAACAAAAGCGCTGGCACCATTATACCAGCAAATACCAACACTACAGTGACTATTTCAAATGCTACTGGAAATAACAGCAACAAAACCGTTGATGCAAGTGACACTAGCAAACTGCCCTTACCAGAGGACGCTGCTTTATTGACGGCTACATTGTCAACAAATTCAGCCGCTGTGACATCAACTGACATCGCACCTGTCGTTATGCATTCAGATAGCTCGAACAGTAGTTTTCCGGACTTAACGCCGAAGCCACCTGCGCCAAGCAAAATAACATCGCTAAGTACAAGATCGGAAATAACACCAACAGAAAAGCCAGAAAAGACTACAAGTATTATCACCAAAGAACACAAACAGCGCAGCGGCGAACGTAATGCAAAAACGAAAGATATTAGTGATAAGACCGAAAAAGCTGATAAAAAGGTGGAAAAGGAAGAAAAAAAGCGTCGGCGAAGCTCCGTTGCAGCGAGCACCGTTTCTGCAAACTCATTCTTAGAACCTCCGCTCAAACAAGGTAAAAAGGAGTCTAATAAGATGGCCCGCGAACAAACGAAGTCTCCCGCATTGCGTCAAAGTCGAGCTGCTAGTATAAGTGGTCCCATTGGAATCAATAATGGCAACGACAATGGCAGTAACAGCTCCAATGCCACTACACAAAACAGCAAATCTAACACCACGGACGTATTAAATAGTGGTGGCGCCTTTTTGCCACCACCTAACAATACGACCGGAACTAGTGTAACTAGCTCTCCATCTACTTTAGCTATTACCAGCAATGCCAACGCAAATTTAAATGCTAATAGTATTGTAAGTGCATCGACGACAGGTGCAGCGGCGGCAGCGTCGCTTGCACCACCTCATCCGTTACGACCAGCATCACCGGCAGGGCCAGTAGGTGCGATGGCCGCAGAGGCAGCAGGCGCTAACAATGGTTCAACGCCGACACCGGCATTGCCAACTGAATATCTGAGTGAACTACAGGAATTACATCATAAAATAATGACGTTACAGGACAATGAGGAGTTGCAGCAAGTAGTCGAGATGATCGCTGCCACGGGCTGTTATGAGATTACCGCCAAAACTTTCGATTTCGATCTATGTAAGCTTGACCGTAGCACTGTGCAGCGTTTGCAAGAATTCTTTGCAACGTCTGTGTCGTGACACAAGATACACGCCTAAGGTGGAGAAGTGCCTCGCAGCATTGACTGCTGAATAATAACGGAAAGTGGCAGACCGACTTTACTGGTACTGGACCAGCTCGATAGTCCACCATTCAAGCCACCAATTAACCAACTGCAATTAAAGAAACATAGAATATTCAGATATCGAAACTACCCTTAGAGGCAAGTTGCGCTGCGGCAAAAGTGGAAATAATAAATTGCAGCGCTATAGGGAAATACCGCAGTTATTTTTAGCAATAATTTTTAAGAAATATATGTAAACTAGTGTTGTGCGCGTTCAAAAAATATACATATAATCCGCAACAGAAGCAAGTAGATCTTCGATTATCATCCAAAATGGTTTTGGCACACAATTATAATATAAAGACATGTATGTATATATTATACATTAAAGCTAAATGAAGCTTACTGACCATTATATTATACATTATTATCAATCGAATTATTGATTTGTATAAAAAAAAACTATTTTTGATTTAGTTGTTTTCTGTCGAATTAGTCATAAACGCGAGCATACAGGTACAGACCACATACCGTGTACACAAATATTCGTTTAATCATCTCTTTAATGCAATATTAATATGTACATATGTTTAGACACTTGTAAATCAGTGAAATACAACTCATTTTAAATTGACACAGCAATGTTTTTTTTTTTAACTTTGATTAAGTTTCTTAATTTAACAAAAACTCTGTCTACAAATGCGGGTCTCCTGTATATAAACTTTTTACATACATACACGTTGCACTTTAATAGATACAAGTAATGTGAGCGAACTGTTATATTAAATAGTTTTTATTCTAGTTTAGTGATTTTTGCATAGAATCTTATAGCTATAATTTTTCACAATTTCATATATTCTGTAGTAACTGCTATGGAGAAACTATTAACATGACAAATTATTTAATTATGCAATACTGTATAAACATTTCGCAATAGAATTAATAATACCCTTTGTTCATTATTCATATAACTCTAACCAATATAAAAAATGCTGTATCAGCTAAAATGTTTGTATAACAATGAAGAAAATAAAAATAAACCTAGAAGCAAAAAAAAAATTATATACAAATGCATAAATACTTATTAATAAATATATTCTCATAATAAATTTGCTTAAGTAAATTGCTGCACATATATATTAACATACGTATGCACTTAAAATCAAATTTTTATAGAGGATTCTAAATGCAGAAAAGGTGGGCAAAATAAGACATCAAATGTAATCATATAGTACACCTATAGCTATTCGATTATTCACAACTACGATTCCTTTCGGTTTGTTTGATTACGCACATAAGTTGACCGAAAATGATCCACTATTGTACCGTATTTAACGGATTTCAAATTGGAAATAATGCAATGTACAAGAAGACAGGATAGGCATTTACACAAAGTTTATTGAGTTGGAAATTAATTGTTTCTTAATTGTAGTTTTCGTTATATAACATTCAAAAATCAATTGATCCATATTTTGTTCGCTTATATTTTCTCATTATCCTTTGCTAATAAGCCATAATAATGTTATGTTCGTTTTCATTTTCAAACAACAACTTTTTATAACTACAATGTTTTGATGCATATTATTTTATTCATTCTAAAGTTTCTGTTAAATATTAAGTTACTATCTGGGAGAAGAAAGTGTGCAGCAATAGAGTGAACAGAATCAATAAAACCAAAGAAAAACAGAAACGGAATTAACGTCAATAAATATTATGAGTATGAGTAATAAGGCAGTTTATTCATTTCAGAGAGCTCAAATTTATTAAAATAAGTCTACATTTTCATAATAAAAAATAATTTAATTTTTTTGTTTACTCATCAATAGCATAATTAAAACAATATATATATACAA